ACTCATGTAGTAAACTGTCCTTTGTTCTCCCTTTTCTTCTTTGATTACTACTGCACTCACTGCATGCTCTGAAGTTGCCAAGTATAAGAACAGCTCATCTCCAGGTATTGGATTTGAGAGAACTGGAGCTGTGGTCAAATACTTCTTCAAGTCGACCAAGACGACTTCGCACTCTTCTGTCCATAAGAAGTCTATGGCTTTCTTCACTAAGCTGAAGAAAGGCTTACATTTGTCAGAACTTCTGCTTATGAATCTATTCAGGGCTGCAGCCCTTTCAGTCAACATATGCACTTGTTTTGCCGATGTTGGGCTCTTCAATTCTAAGATGGCCTTGATATGATCCGGGCTTGCCTCAATGCCCCTTCTAGTAACCAAGTATCCTAAGAACTTACCAGATCCAACTCCAAATGTGCACTTTGATGTAGTGAGTCGGAGCCGATATGTTCTAAGGACGTCAAAAACTACTTTTAAGTCTTCCAAATGATCCTCAGGTTCCTTGGTCTTCACGACCATGTCATCTATGTATACCTCCACTATTCTGCCTATTAGATGTCTGAACATCTTGGTCACCAATCTCTGGTAAGTTGCTCCTGTATTTTTCAACCCGAAAGGCATCACTCTATAGCAATAGAGCCCCTATGGGGTGATAAATGCAGTTTTCTCCTCATCTTGGGGGTACATGGCTATCTGATGGTACCCCTTGTAAGCATCCAGGAAGCTCATCCTTCCATGCCCTAAAGTGGCATCCACCAATTGGTCAATCTTGGGTAGTGGGAAACTGTCTTTGGGACAAGCCTTGTTCAGGCTGGTGAAGTCCACGCAAACCCTCCACTTCCCATTCTTTTTCTTCACAACAACCGTGTTTGATAGCCATGTCGGGTAGTTTACCTCTTGAATGGCCCTGGCCTCCAGAAGTTTATCAACTTCCTCTTCTACTGCCTCAACATGCATTAATGTAGGCCTACTTGCTCGTTGGATGACAGGTTTGGCCGACCTGTCCACATTCAGTCTATGGCAAGTGACCTCAGGGTCAATGCCAGACATCTCATACAGCGTCCAGGCAAGCACCTCAAGGTTTGCTCTAAAGAACACCTCCAATTCCTTTTCCTCTTCCTCGGCCAATCCTGAGCCGAGAAGGAAGAAGCACTCTTCATCCCCTTATTGGACTAAGATCTTCTTCAGGGCTTCCTCACTTTGCTCGGCTGGTTCTTTGCCGACGTCCTCAAGGACCTCCATGTCCTCATCCTCAATCTCTACTGTTTCTGCTTCTCGTATGTTGCAGGTAGATTTCATTACCACCATGGAGCAATTTTTTGCCTGCACCTGGTTCCCTCTGACCTCTTCTATTCCATGCTCTGTTGGGAACCGCAACAGCTAGTACAATGTTAAGGGAACAACCCCCATTGGATGCAGCCATGGCCTTCCCAAGATAGCACTGTAAGGGGAGGGGGTGTCGATTATGGTGAACTCTGTTTTCACCTTCTTGGTGCCAGTCTGCACTTCCAAACTTACTGCTCCCAAGGGCCACGTTGGCGTTCCGTTAAACCCAACCATTAGGCCATTGGACTGCTCCAGATCATCTTGGTGAAGGCCAAGCTCCTTGTAACATTTGACATACATGATGTCACAAGAGCTGCCCTGGTCAATTAAGATGCGCTTCACTTGGAACTCTCAAATCTAGAGGGATATTACCAAGGCATCATTGTGTGGATGCTGCACCATCTCTAGGTCGTTTTCAGTAAATGACACTACTGGTCCTTGGCACTCGTCTGCCCTAGGTCTTTTCTGCCGGACCTGATACACATGATGTAAGTGCTTTACCTTCTGAGTCTCTCCACGTATTTCATTCTCATTGACCTTCGAGTAAATCACATTGATCACTCGAGGTCCACCTGCTTGCAGTTGTGGTACTGGAGGAGGTGATGCTACCGGTGCCTGAGGCAGTCTTGCTTGCTCTTCCCTTGTCCTGGCATCGTCTACTAGGTCCCTTAAATGACCTTGTCTTACCAGGTCTTCCAGATATGCCTTCAGGGCTCTGCACCCCTAAGTCAAATACCCAGCTTCATTGTGGTAAGCATAGTGCTTGCCAAGGCTTCTTCCCATAAATTCGTCTAGAACCCTTGCTGGTGTTCTGTAGTAGGGCTGATTTCGAATTTTCTCCAAGACTTTGTAAACCGGGATTCAGAATACGGTTGTGACTACCTGTGCAGCCCTTAATCTTGTCTCTTGCTTCCTGTATCTAGTGTTACCTCGACCTCGCTTCGGCGAGCTGTTTCTCTTCTCTTGTTTTGATGCCTTTGTCCTTGGCGTGTCTTCCTCGGCTCTCGCATACTTCTCAATTCTAGCCATGAGTTCCTCCATACTTTTTGGCAATGTCTTTGCCAATGATTTTCGAAGCAGACAATCATCTTTCAGGCCGTTCTTAAAAGACACGACCGCCACCTTTTGGTTGCATCCTAGTATTCGGTTGAACACCTTATAATACCTCTTGGCGTAGGCCCTAAGGCTTTCATGCTCGCCAATTCTCAGAGCCATCAGGGAGTCCACCCTCAACGACTGTAGTTTGTTTGTCACAAACCTGGCCACAAACATCTCGGCCAGGCCTTACCAGGTTTTCACAGTTCCTTTCGGCAACTTGTGAAACCAGTCTGATGCGATTTCCCCAAAGGATGAGGGGAACACCTTGCAGAGCAATGGCTCGTTCCCGGTGTATAATGCCATTAAGTTCAGGTACAAGCCGACATGAAAGGTCGGGTCAGACTTACCGTCGTATATCTCGAATCTCGGCATGTGAAACCTCTTCGGGGCTTCGAATTTGTCCAATTCTACCGAAAAAGGCGTTCTCAGCTTAACCAGAGAAGTCACCTCGGCATCTTATTGCTTCCTCAGATCCTCCTTAGTCCGTCCAGGAGCTCGGCTATCTCCGGATTTCATCCTTTTTGGTGCACTACTTCCAATGTCATTATGAGTCCTTTTGGACCTCCCTCCATTGGTCGTGTCAAAACAGAATTCTTTCTCCTGAACATCCCGACGTTTTTTGGTGCAGGCTTCTTTAGTTCGACGTGTCTTCCTGGATTCTCTTCTCATTGATTCTCCATACCCGACCTCCCGTGAAGGCCAGTGAGAATGTCCCTTGGTCCTGTCGTGTTGAGGGACTACAGGAACTGTTTTCTGCCCCCCTTTTCGGCAATCTTTCTTGGCCGCTGGAATCGGCGTATCTTGTAACGGGAACGGTAGCTGCATGACGTTGTTCTGTATCATGAAATTGACGACCGATTGTGGGTCCACCAATTTATTCTTCATTCCCTTCATCTCGCCGTCCCTCTGCAAGCATCTATCTTTCCATACCTGGAGGTCGTCCTCGTTATAATACCCGCCTCAGTTTGATTTCTTTGGTACGTCGCCCTCCTAGCCGACGTCTTTCTCTCTAGGATTCTGATCCCGAGTTTCCTCGTTGCAATTATCCTCATCCACATTAGGGTCAACGTGTTTACCACTCCCAATAGGGATGTCATCCCCAACCTTCTCTTTCTGTCCATCGTTGGTCATCTATTCTCCTTTCTTTCCCACAGACGGCACCAAATTGTGTTTGTCGATTTCTGACCACACTGCCAAACAGGTACTCAGCTGGAGAACACCGGCAGAATAGACTGCCCCTAAACGACCTGTCACAAAAAGATAAGATTTCGGCGGTGGTTCGTCCACTCGAGGGCACTTCGACGATCAAGTCACTATTCAGAATACAAAAAGAATACAAAAAGCGTACCTTAGACCCATGAGGGTGCCTCTCTTTTATAGCCAACACTGACCTAATCCCAATAGAAGCCTAGCTTCAATGGATTCTAGCTCAATGCTAAATCTGGACTCCTAGTTAGATTGGGATAAACTCTTTAAGAGTCTTATCTTTATCCAAACTAAAGTCCTTTCACATTCTAGGACTCTTGTCCTTATCTGCTCACCCCGGATTCTGGTATCTTCGCAAATAACCTCAGCCTAGCCGAGATTACCTCAGCATCGTGACCAGGACACGTGGCACCTTGGCTGGCACTTCAGTGCCACCTCAGCCACGTGTTGTCATTAAAAAATTATGTCCCACACTTATCAACTAAAGTCTCAACAAAATGTCATTTGTCAAAAATTAGAGTAGACTTTTTCCTCACCGTTTCCAATTTTACACTTTAATAAAGCTCATACATTTTTTTTATTCTTCCTATAATAGAAAATAATTTTATCCACAATCATACTAAAAAATATTGCCTATAATCTTATTTGTTATCCTATTTTCACACTTCAAGACACATAATGGATCTCATGTCATTAATGTGGGTGCTACTGTTAAGAAAATTATTAGGTATCCCAGAGTACCACGCGTCCATATTCCTTCATCAATCATCATTCACCATTTCCCTTCTTATTCCTCAATCACCTAACACAAAATTATAACACTCTACTTTCTCCACCAATCATAATATCATGGAACACCACGTGACTGTACTCTCAGAATACTCAATAATCATCCGTGTTGTCTTATGTCTAGAGTAAGAAAATAGAATTAAAAAAATGTTATGTATAATCTTTTTCTTGTATTAAATGGATAGTACATCCAACACATGCCATCCCTTGATCCATTGGTGATGAAGTGGAATTTTGGCTTGCCTAATGTCATAAAACATGAATCACCATCAGCACTGAGGTTTAATTCCAATCAGCAAATTATCCTACTTCATCAAGTTACTAAACAATATGAGAAAATAAATTTTGACAGGTTGCACTCCCAAAGTTGAAAAATATCTGTCTTGATCAATATTTATAGCAACGAATTTTGAAAGGAAAGGTAACTGTGAAATGTTATGAATTCTAATTTGTAGAATTTCTTCCTCAACCATATTATGGTGAATTACTTTTTTTCATTTGACATTTTTTTTTTAAAATCATGGAATAATATGAAGCTAAACTTCCTATATTATTTTATTTCCTTGTACATCATTTTCCTTTTATTTAGGAATGTGCAATTACGAATGAAAATGATGATAAGGAAATTCAGCAAGACAAACAACGACTTCTAAAAGGAAAGGTAATCATGCAATGTTACAAATTCTAATTCGCATAATTTCTTCCTCAGCCATATTTATTATTTATGGTGGTTTTTTTTTTCATTTGACATTTTTTTTAATCTTGGAATAATATGAAAGTAATCTTATATATTTTTATTTCCTTGTATGTCACTTTCCTTTTATTTAGGAGTGTGAAATTATGAATGAAAATGATGATAAGGAAACTGAGCAGGACAAACGACAACGTTTGAAAGGAAAGGTAACCATGAAATGTTACGAATTTTAATTTGTATAATTTCTTCCACGTCCAGATTCATGGTGAAATACTTTATTTTATGTGACAATTTTTTTTTTTAATCTTGGAATAATATGAAACTAACTTCCTATATATTTTTGTTTTCTTGCATGCGGCTTTCATTTTATTTAGGAATTCCACAATTATGAATGAAAATGATGATGATAAAGAAATTGAGAAGAGCAAACAAACATTTCTCCAACCTTTGACTACATCTATGACTGATGGTAAAATGGCATGCGGCAAACAGTAAAGTAAGTTGATCATCCCTCATTATTATTACGAGGCATGTTACTGACTAAGAAACAAAACACAAAATAAATAAATAAATAAGATCAAGAAAAAAAAATGTGTAGCTTAGATTCATTTTAAGTGTAGGATTTACAATACAAATGTTAGATCATAACCACATTTTGTGTGTGTGTGTGTGTGAATATGTTTGTGTGTTTGATTTCTTTGGCAGTAGCATTAGTCTTATTATTGTTGATGGCATTGGTTTCCCTCCAATCCACTTTTTGGACGGGAGGGTACAATTTAGCATGTTGTGGGCTCACTTTCAGTCTATATTAGTAATTCAAACTATTCAACTTTTAGTGTCTTCAGATTAAATTATTCATGAAAAAATATTAGGTTGATTTGATATTGATAGTCACATGTTTCAATCGAATTTGTCTTTAAAAATATGGATTGCAAGTTTAATTTTGCAAAAAATAGACCATCCATATTTTTTAGACAAATGTGATCCAAACATGTTTGTACTAATTTCTAATCAATCTAATTTTTTTTTTAATGTTAGGTTTTTATTCTTGGTAATCCCGTTTGACAAAACTCCTTTTAGTTGTAATTGTATTCGATCTTTTATTTCAGTGAGACTATGAGTATTTAGATGCGAATCCAACCCGAATTGTGCCTATGCAGAGGAGTTTGCGATCTTAATCATATCTGGTTTGCTTGTTCGCTCAAGCGGCCGTTTGTGCGCTTGAGCGGAGAGCGTTTGGTTCCAGAAGTTTGACCTGTCTGCAAAAGTACTGGAAGCTAGGATTTTACACTCGAGCGAATTTTCCTATGCTCGAGCAGCCATTCTTGCGCTCGAGCGGAGAACACGATTCAGTTTTTTATAAATATATGTTTCAGCCAGATTTTAGGATACGGCTTCTAGATCTTCTTCTTGGATATTAGGGTTTATATCTAGGACTATTTTGCTAGTTTTCTTTGATGTTTGATTAAGTATTCAACTCATGGTTTAAGAAGTATACATCAAATGATTGTTTGTTTATTCTATACAAAAGAGAGTGTTCTTCTTCGGTGGATTCTGAAGAATTCGGACCTGAAGCTTTGGTGGATTCTGGAGTGGCTCATCATCGTGGATTCGACATCGGCGTTGTGGATTCAACGTTGGGAAAGACGATTCTGAGGAGAAGACTGTAGTGGAAGAGGCACATAGGGGTCGGTTCAATTCGGGCGTGGATTCGCTAGGTAATTGAGAATACACTTGTGTAATTCCTTTTGTCTTCTTAGTGGATTGTTTTGTGGTTTTTGCCCGTGATTTTTTTTATCATAATTGGAGGCGTTCCAATTGTGATTTTTCCACGTTAAAATTGTTGTGTCGATTTGTCTTGATTGTTTGATTGAGATTGTTATTTACTGCTTAAAATTGGTACACAATCATAAATTAATATCTAAGGAATTTCTAGATTTTTCAACTAAAAACGAAAATAAGCTAACAAAAAGCCCAAAAAAATCCAAACACCCACAACATCATAAAGTTATAAAATTATGAAGAATGTGCTAACATAATGGGCATTGGCGTAGCTACATTGTAATCAATGGGTTCAATTGAACCCACTGAAATGTTAGACATAATTGATGTTAATTCAATATTTTAATTAACACTTTATAATTTCATGAGATAAATTTAAAAAATTAAGTAATATTTTGAAATTTCATTAAAATGACACCACTAAATTATATTATTTTAAGAGAATGCCAACTTTTAACATAAAAAAGTATTTATTTTATTTTTTTTAAAATGATTCATATTCGAAACTTAGTTCAAAATCAAAAACAAAATGAGATATTTCTAGCATTTTACATTTTTAGTTTAGTGTTTTTTTTTTTTTAAGTAGGTTATACTTGTGTAATGTGTTCTGATTATTAATTGACTCCACTATCAATAAATACTGGCTCCGCCACTGATAATGGGTCACACTTTTAATAAAATTAACAAAGAGATCAACAAATGAAAATACTTTTAGTGGGTCACACTTTATGTTTTCTTAAATGATTAAAATTAAAGACATTTTTTTCTCCGATTATGAATCTCCATGCATCTTGCACGTATTTGATGAGAGGAAAATTCATATTTTGTTGTACATTTACACCATCAACAGTTTGCGTTGAAGTTATGGGCAAGCACAAATTTGCTGGGGATTGTAGAACGCTAGACTACCTCGTGCAAAAATTTGCTAGTTTCTCTATTTGGCCAATAACATTACAAAAATCTGCACTTTTAGCGACCACTTTCCGCGACCAATATAAAAGTTGGTATCTAAAAGTTACCTTTTGGCGACCAAATATTAATTAGTCGCGAATGATCATTAATTTTGGCGACCAAATATGAGTTGGTCGCAGAAGCTCATATTTTGGCGACCAAAAAATGAGTTGGTCGCAAAAAGTGGTATGCTTTTGGCGACCAACTACAGATTTGGTTGTGGAAGGTCACATTTTGGCGACCAAAAAATAAGTTGGTTGCGGAAGATCAAAAATAAGTTGGTTGTGGAATTGGCGACCAAAATTTTAGTCGCCAAAAACTTATTTTCCCCGACCAAAAATATTTTAGTTGTCGTATATTGAGTTTTGGCTACTAAAACAATTTAGTCGCCAAATGGAAAATAAAAAAATATTTTTTCTCTTTGGCGACCAAAAATTTGGTCACCAAAAACTTATTTTCAGCAACCAAAAAAAAATTAGTTGCCAAATTAGTACTTTTAGCGACTAATATTTTAGTCGCCGTTGATTGAGATTTGGCGACTAAAAAAGTTTGTCGGCGAAGGTACCTTTTCTGTGACTAATTTGGTCTTTTGGTCGCCAAAAGTTTGGGAGGGAAATTTAAAACGTGGAGGCGGGAATTGAAATTTTTTTGCGACAAAAAAATTTGGTTGCCGATTGTAAAACGACGTCATTTTGTACCCCAGGAAAACAGAAAAAAAATAAAAAAACCCTAATCTCCCATCTGTCTCTAGCTCGCTCTCTGTGTCCCTCTATGATGGTCCGCCCTCTCCCTCTCTCTGTGTTCTCTTTGTCAATCGGTGCCCACTCTCTCTACTTCACCGAAATCCCTCACCACCATTGCTAACGTCCGTCGCACATCGCCACCGCCGCAAATCGCCATCGCCCTCTGTCTTCCTCTCCTTTCATCGTTGGCTCTCTTCCTCCCTATAGCCAGAGTTTCTCTCTCTTTCTCTCTATCTCTCTCTCTCTCTCGTCACTCTCTCACTCCCAATCAATAATGAAACCCTAGCCACAATGTCCATTCACTTTGTCCCTTGTTCTGCCTCCGCCACCAGTTCCGATGCCTCCTTTCTTGCATTGCCACTCATGACCGCTAGTCCAGGTATGATTTGTGTTCTTTTAATTTTGTTTTCTTTTCTTTTCCCCCCAAAAAACAGAGAGAGTGAGAAAAAAAAAAGGGAGAGAGACTTCAGGCATTAGAGAGAGAGAGAGAGAAAGAGAGACATACAGAGAGAGACCATATAGAAAAGTGAAGGATCTGAGTGATGGAGTATGTATCTACATGTTTGTTTGTGTGTATATCAATGGCTGAATCTCCATGGAGGTTTCCCAAAATGTTAGCTTTTGCTTTTTGTGTATTATTTATTGTGAAATTCATGGAGTTTTTGGGTTTTATTATGAGAGTAGGCTACTAGTTGGTTAATCGGTATGATTTCTATGATATATATATATATATGTTCAATGATTACTTTGTGTTTGATAGACCATGGTCTTGTTGGGTATACAAAACTTGTGTACAGAAGTTGTTTGAGGATTTGTCTTATAAGAAAGGTGAATGTTTTCTAATATTGGTCATTTGTATATATTTTTAGCCACAATCATTTAGTTTTATAGCTTTCATTGTGAGCTTGATTTCATATTCCATTGTTTATGAACAGCTCCTTGAGTGTGCATGCAACTTGAAAAACTATTTAGCTACCTACAACTGTAATGATATCTATGTGATTGTGTGTTAATTTAGCATACGATTTGCAAGAGGATTTGTGTATATGATTTTGAATGCTTGGTATGCTAATTATTAAGAGATATACATTTTGGTTGTATTTGAATTATGAATTTTGAAAAAGAAAACAAAAAAATGGCAATGAAATATAGGTAGAATGTAACTATATTTCATTCACATTTTACTCATATTTTCTCTTTCACTTTTCAAATTTCTATTCAAATTCATAATATAAACACAATATTGGAATGCATTGCATGGGAAAAATTATGAGAGCTATTTATGTCCCATTTGCGTTTTAATTGTATCTGTCTAATTTTGTTTTTATGATCATAATAGGATCGGTTAAGAAAATTCGATTCGATTAATTAGTACTTCCATGTACGTAGATCACTCATGAAAAAAGTTAAATTGATCGAATAATTATCATTATATGATTTCAAAAATTTGTCTTTACAAAAATTGTGCAATAATTATGATTTTAATAAAAAGTTTGTTGTACATTTTTCTTAAAAGAGATATGTTGAAATCTCGTGATTACAATTTCAAATCAATATTATTTTTTTATTTTTTTTAAAGGAAAATGCTAAAAATAGCCCTTAGGGCTATTGTTAATGTTGCAAGATGTATATTAAAATGTGTAAAAGGTGTATAATTATATGGGTTTGGTTTCTCTGAAGTTATCATCTCGACTTGAGAGAGCATTTGAGCTTGGTAGGTCTATTTTGGAACCGATTTCAGTGATCTGAATCGTTCATTTTAAGACTCATTGAGTAGAATATTCGTGTAAAAAATCAAGACGATTGGACATCGATAGTTATATGTTTGAACCATATTTGTTTTAAAAAATGATTGACAAATATAATTTTAAAAATAGCATATATTTTTTGTAATACAAATTTGATTTAAACATATAAATACTGATATTCGATCATCTTAATTTTTGACATGAATGTTTTACTCAACGAATTTTAAAAAGTGAATGGTTCGGATCACCTAATCGGTCAAAAAATAGGCCTACCAAGCCCGAACACTCTCTAAAATATGAATCTATAACATGTGAATTACTAAAACAAAAGGTAATTAGATACAATTATTATACCCTAAGGGTTACAAATTCCAAGGTTTAATCTAGTTACAATAAAAGTTGGTTTTTTTATCCAACACACATATAGCCCTTGGCTTGTGTAACACCGCCCGGGGGTTACCCGCGCACTGTTAAATAGTTCAAAGCCTCAATTCTCTTTGATCTAGTTTCACGAGTGCAATATGAAACATAGATGAGAGTTCAGATTTGGTAACTTTTATTGAAAATCCATTTTATTGCAAAACATTGCCAGAAATGGACAATGTCATCAGATCTTTGAGTCGGCACCTAACATTTTGGAAAAATTAGTAAATTCGTAACTTGTGCCAAGGCCACTATTCATCATAGCCAAGGATACTTGGCTCGGAACCTTAGGTATGAAGGGGGAAGGTCATTAATTGAGCATCCCCACTTACCCAATCAAAAGATCAGCCTTTACTAACCATGATACGATTTTTATTTCCTTCATGTGTTCATATTCTGATTATTTAATAAAACTTAAAAATTACTATGTGAAGCAAACACATATAGACTGTCTCGTTCAATTTGAAGCAATTTAATTTCATTGTTTTGAAAATATTTTGAATAGTGTAATCATGAAAATCAATTTTATCCCAAATTAAATAACACAACCTTCACTCACTGGCATGCATAAGTTATATCAAATAAGCAACTAGTCACATGGTAAGATGCTAAAAATAGTAAAAAATCATACACATGCGGGATGTTAAGGTACAAAAGCTTACATATTTATCAATGTCCCGCAAATAGGTACAAAACAAAGTTAGTAAAATAAGCATGCTTCTATATACAAGATCCTAATGCAATTCACTTATAAAATGCAATTACAGATCTAGGTTCTAATATATGGCATGTGAATCAAATCAAAACATGAGATAGTACACAAAATCACATAATAATCAATTAAACTCACGGATGCAATTCTAGCCGGATCTTAAGGCATGAAACATAGATGCAAAGCATGGATATGATGACAATCATATACAAGATGCATATTTACATAATACGAAAAGCAAAATAAAAGAACGGGATAGAAAGAAATGGGGCGGGAAATTATTACAATGGTAATGCCTCCAAATTAATTGCACAATACAACTCCAAACAACTAATACAAAGTGATATAGGTGAAATAAGAAGCTTTTATTAATTGGAATTTATAGCGATCTCGGTTTTGACCCGACTATTGTTGCATCTTGGACTCGGGTTTCATGGTTTAAATATTGTTATCCATGTCTTTTCTTCCTTCCACTCTTTAAGTTTGAGTTTTGGAATGTCTTGGGCGTGTTTGGAACAGGTTGGTTGATAGTTGGTCTAGATTGTTGTTGCCCAGATTTTGGCCTTTTCGCTCGAGCGAAGCTTCATGCACTCGAGCGGGGACATCTTGTTGTGTCTGGTCGCTCGAGCGACTACTACGCTCGAGCAAGATTTGTGACCTCCCAGTATTTCGTTCAGACCTATAATGTTCTGGGAAGGTGTTGTTGTTCGCTCGAGCGAGAACTCTTGCACTCGAGCGATGATCTTTTGTCTGCAAAACTTCTAGAGATTTGTATTCTACGCTCGAGCGAAGCTTCTTGCGCTCAAGCGAGACACTTATTATGTCTAGTCACTCGAGCGACAATTCCTTCGTTCGAGCGAGCCTCACGTATATTAGTTCACAGCAGCTCATTTTTACATCACTTTTTGTTACCTTTTCACTCAAAAACCCTAATCTGACGCCCTCTCTCTCTAAAATCCACACTCTCTATGTGTTTTGACCAAGATTCTTAGATCTCTTCACCCTAGTGCCTTTGGGAAAAGGGTAGAGCATCTTGAAAGCTTCATTTTCATCCGATTAGAAGTTGCTTTCGTCACTTTCGAAGTTCTCACACTTCTCCTTTGGGCTTCTACATTTGAAGTGGGGACATTCTACACCTTAATATGGTTTTTAACCTAAATATTTGTTGTTATGATTAAAAATGTGAGATTTTGGGGTGTTTTTGAGAAAACCTCGAGTTTTGGCTCAAGCTTAAAAGAGGGGTTCTTATGCTGTGTTATGTAATTAACTATGGGGTTTGGATGTAAGGCTATCTTGTGTTAAAAATTATTGATTTTGGCTTTTGGGCAACATTTGGGAAAGGGAAATTTTGCCCTAAATATGTTGGAATAACTTTTTTAGATAAACGATGGAATTGGAATGAGAAATGTGAAATTGAGAAGATATGGGAATGAATGGTGTACTTGGATTTGTTTAATCACTCTCCTATGGAAATTTGATGGATTATCTATTACAAAGATTGTATATCTGTTTAGAAATATCTGTATTAGGCTATCGGTGGAGGATAGCTATGAGTGTTGTAGAATTGCATGAGGATTAGGTAAATTGAAACTAATCATTCAAATTGTGTCATTAACTATGACGGTGTGTTAAGACATTGAATATGTATAATTTATAGTCATTGAATATGACGCTACTTTAAATACATTGTGTATGTATAATATTTTGGGAGGAGAAATGGGATGCACTTCTTGTTTTGGGAGGAGATAGGGGATGGACTCCATTGAAAATTAAGTTGGTCGTAGTGTCTTGGGTGAAAGTCCCGAAATCATATGTATACATGGGTGCCGATCCCGCGGACGAAATTTGTGTAAAATGGGAAGGTTGAAGTGCTTGTGTAATCATTATGTTGATTAAGAACCACTGAGTTATAGTCTCAGTTGGGTTATTTGGCAAATGATAAACTTGGCCTATGAATTGAAATGAAACGAATTAACTTGAAATGAATAATTGGGAATGGATTGAGATATGAATATCGGTACTGTTGTGTGGTCATATGAAGAATGTATGTTGGTCATCAATATTGAATATAGATTTGACACTCATATCTTAGTTAAATCTCATATATTGTGTTAGACTGTTTCTTCTGAGCTTTGGCTCACCCTACTTAGGAAACCATTTTCAGGTACTGGTGACATGCCTCCTCCAAGGACGTAGCTTGGGAGGACCTAAGAGCTGGAGGCTCTATTTTTGTATTTGGATTTAAATGTTTATTCAAGCCAAGGGCTTGTTATTTGTATAAAGCTTATGACTCCCTTTTGTTGAAACTAAGCAATGTCTTGGAAAGATATAAGCCCGCAGAGCATTACTTTGTTGTTATTAACTAGTGTTACATACTGTAGATTCAGGATGAACATTTATGAATGTATAACGCATGTAATGTCTTTCGTAATTTGAACTCCGATGAATGAAAGTATATCAATTCTTTTGTATTTAATTCTCGTATCTATTAAGTTATTCGTATTTTTTTTGGGGGGGGGTGTTACAACTTAGTATCAGAGCGTACTGGATTTGAATACTTTGGGTACGTAGGAAGTGGTTGTTGCCACAATAGGTTTGTCTCGCTTAATTGAGACATTAGTAGGTATAGTATGCTTATGTGATGACATGTTTATGTGATTATATTGGTATGAGATTTAATTTCTAGGATGATAATCGAGTCCACGGGTTTCTGGGAGTCTTAGTGATCAAATGTGCAAACAGAGGCTTACAACACCAAGGCGGTGGCTTTTCGGGTGTAGAATTGGGCATGCATGCATCCCTCACTTCCTGGGATTAGCTAATTAGTTTAATTAGCAATAGATCAAATACGTGTTGTAATTAATTGGTTGTAGCTAATTAAGTGTTGTAAATAATTAGTTAGTTTAACTAGTTATTTGATTTCGGTGTGTAATAATTAGTTAACTAGAATAGTTAATTAGTTTCAAGTTTTGTAATAGTTAGCTTAATTAGTGTAGCTAGTTGGTTAGCTTATTCATTTGGACCCTCCTTCGTGAGGGCGTAATGTTGTAATAAGTGTATGTGCATGTGTGTATGTCTTCCAACCCCACGTCTTTCTCTCTTTTATTTAATCGCTTTTGATGGTTAGATTAGGGACATGTTTCAATTAGCATACCTTATACTTGTATCCATTCATTTGTATTGCATGCACCGAGGCTCGGCGCATCATTCAAACTGCATTGTCATTTCAATACTGAATACGTTTTTAACCGCATGTTATCAAATCGATCGATATGTCATATTAGTAGCCGAACTTATTAATTGCATATTGCCTGTGTTGCATTAGGCATCTTGTATAGTTAGGAATCATGCATATTTTTCTAACTCATATCTTCTTAGCTTGGAATACTAGGTGAGTTTTTATGCTTTAGCATACTCGCATGAATGTAAATGTTACCATGATTTGCATGCTTGCTATGAGGCTATGTGCTTAAATGCTAAACAGCTTGAATGCCTGTGGATTTAGGCTTGTTGTTTGAATTGGAACGATTCAACGAATCTATGTTTTAAGCTCACTTTGTTGAGTGGCAAATCATGTTTTAAGCCCACTATGTTTGGTGGCAAATCCGCAAACTTTAAGCCCACTTGACGTGGCAAATTCAAACCATTTTTGCAAACAAACATGAGTTGAATTGTTCCAAATTGAGCAAACTAGTCTATACTTGCTTGTGCGCATCACATAGTAAAGCTAGTTTAATAAACCGAAATAAGAGCACATAATGTTTATAAAAATCATATCATGATTAGTAGAGGCCGATCTTTTGATTGGGCGAGAAGGGGTGCTCATTTCAGGACCTTCTCCTCTCGTAGCTAAGTTCCCGAGCTAAGGCAACTTTGGTGATGACGGACACGTGGCCTTTGGCAAGAGTCAGGGCTTTCTAAATTTTTTCAAAGTAAAATATTTAGGTGGCGACTCTATATCTGGCAAAGCAATCTAATTTTGGCATTATTTGATTTAAAATTCATTTTCCAAAATAATTTGTCGGATTTGGAATCTTTGGTTTTTATCAGTCTCACATTGCACTTATGAGACTAGATTCAAAACCGCAGGAGTCCGGACTGTGAGGCCTTTCTGTCAAACCTTCTGAAAGGGGGTGCGAAAAAAGCGAGTCCACACAAACCCTTCTGTACTCGACGGTAAGGCAAGGACCGGTGCTGTTGTGAGTCGTGTCTTTAATTCTTGGAAAGCAAACTCCCTTTGTTTTGTCCACTCAAATGGAACACCTTTTTTAGTCAATTGGGTAAGCGACACCGTAATCTTAGAGAAATCTTCAACAAATCTTTGGTAGTAACCGGCCAAACCCATAAAACTACATACTTCTGTAAGATTGGTAGGAGCAGGCCAATTCACAATGGCTTCTTTCTTTTGCAGATCGACAGACACACCATCCTTGTTAATTACATGCCCCAAAAAGACAACTTCATTCAACCAAAATTCCCACTTCTTCAATTTAGCATATAACTTCTTGTCCCTAAGTGTTTGAATAATTAATCTCAAGTGTTTTTCATGTTCCTCCCTACTCCTCGAATATATAAGAATACCATCAATGAATACTACCACAAACTCATCCAAGTACGGTTTGAAAACCCGATTCATTCAATCCATAAAAGTTGCCGGTGCATTTGTAACCCCAAATGGCATGACTAAAAATTTGTAATGGCCGTACCTGGTTCGGAAGGTTATCTTCTCAACATCCTTTGCTTTGACTTTCAACTGATGGTACCCGGATCTCAAGTCGATTTTTGAAAACACTTGTGTCCCCTGTAATTGGTCAAACAAATCATTAATCCGTGATAAAGGATATTTATTCTTCACCGTCACCTTATTAAGCTCTTGGTAATCAATACACAACCGAAGGGTCCCATCCTTCTTCTTCACAAACAGAACAGGTGTGCCCCATGGCGATGTACTCAGTCGGATGAACCCTTTGTTAAGAAATTCTTGCAACTGTATTTTCAATTCTTTCATTTCTGCCAGAGACATTCTGTATGGAGCCTTGGAAATCGATTGAGTACCCGGTACAATATCAATGACAAATTCAATCTCACGGTCTATCAAGTCCCCTGGCAATTCTTCAGGAAATACATCCAGAAACTCACTAACAATCTAAATATTTTCAACACCCATCTCAGTTGTCTCTGCATGCAAAATGCTACACAAATAACCCCTACAACCCTTCTGAAGTAGTTTGCAAGCTTTCATGGCTGATATCAAATAGGGTGGAGAGACCACCCCATGTCTCACAAAAGTAAACTCATCTTGACCCGGTGGGTAGAACACAACTTTCTTAGACACACAATCAATGGTTGCATGATAATTAGCTAACCAATCCATTCCCAAAATTATATCAAAGTGTATCATATCAAGAGGCATCAAATTAGCACATAATGGAATATCTCTAAGCAAAAGCTCACATGCAGGATACATAGAAGCACGTAACATATAGTCCCCGGATGGGAGAGACACATATAACACATAATTCAAGGGTTCCATAGATCTATTCAAATTAGGAGCAAACGTTTTTGAAACAAAGGAATGGGTGGGACCTGAATCAAGTAGCACATGAGCAGGTTAGCCATTGATGAAAAGCGTACCTGAAACCATAATGTCTGAATTTTGGACATCACCAAGAACAAGAGCAAGAGCAAAAACTCTCCCTTGCCTAACATTGTCTTTAAAAGTAGTAGGCCTTGCTGGGGTCTTTGTTGCAAGAGTGGAACTGACTGAAGTAGCAGTTGGCCTATTCCCTTTTTTGTTGCCCAAACATAAGACAATCTCTCACCATATGCCTCGCCTTTCCACAATTAAAGCAAGCTCCTAATGCTCGATAACAAACCCCCAGGTGCTTCTTTCCACATTCTTGACAAGTTGGTGCCGAATCAAGGGTTGAACCCGAAGTGTTGGAAGTTCCCAAATTTTGCTTCTTACTTTGTGAGGACGCCGGCCCTTTGTGCACATTGGAGCCTTGCCTTTTGCCCTTCCAATCCGAGTACCGGTTGTGGTTGGTTTGGTTAACTTCCGCTATGATGGCCTTACATCCACATATTTCTGCACCTACAATACATTAATCTTCTCGAGAATGGAGTCTCGGAGACCTCCCTCAAATTTCCTCTCCTTCTTGTAGTCCATATCGACCATGTATGGTGCGAAACGAGCTAATTCAGTAAATTGCTCTTCATACTCTGCTACGGTCTTTGTTCCCTTGTTTCAAGTTTTCAAACTTCGACACCTTCCTGTCTCAGATACTCTGTGAGAAGTACTTCTCATAGAAGATCTCCAAAAATTGAGCCCAATTCATCCCCTGATGCTCTTCTTGAATAAGCATCAACCATCAGCGTGCCTCATTCTCTAGTATAAAAGTGGCTAGCAAGACTTTCTGTGCCTCCGTGCATGGAAAGACTTCAAACAATTTATTGATACCAAGCACCCAAGCCTCCGCCATTAATGGATCAATTCCTCATTTGAACAAGGGTGGTTTCATCTTCTTAAATTCTTTTGTGAGAGTAATAGTTTGGTCATCGGCCTAGTGGTCTTGCACTATAGGTGGTGGCACAGCCATTGGTGGCAGTGGTTGTTGTTGCTGTTGTTATCTAAAGGCCTCCGCCATGTCCATGATCATTGTCTCCATTCTATCAAGTTGTGCGGAGGTTGAATCCTCCCTGTCCACTGCCCTTGTGCTCACCATGATTTAGAGGAGCACATATTATAACTTTCCCAAATAATAAACACATAATTCACATTTACAAATGCACATTTTCATGTCATACTTGATTGTGGATGCATTATGGATGCAACTTAAACTCTTTCTAGACTTCTTATTGCTCACATGGACTCGTGTGTGAGATATTAACTTGTACTCTGATACCACTCTGTCACGACCCGAACCCATCCCTAAAAGTTTGGGTCATAACCGACCGGCAATACTTGATTATCTTTGGCCTCAAACAAACATACAGAGTAATTATAGCAATAGGGCCAAAAGCAAAAGTACACAACAAAAGAATGAGTCCATTGAGCTATACCAATATGCGCAAAATGTAACACATCCACGTCATTTACATGCCCATGTAAAAAGAATATAAGCATTGCGAAGAAATTTGTACATAATGTTTACAAACCCAAGACCACATTAGCAAAACAAAGTAAGGACCAAGTATGATGTGAGTCAAGACAAAACTCCATCTCGAAGACATGACTTGACTGGGTCTCAAAAAGGATGGCTCCTGAAGCTGACTCTAGGGATGTGCTCCATGTTGCAGATTACCTATATATGCATACATAAAATTGGGTGAACGAAACTCAATGAGTAACAATACAGTAAAACAGTGTAAATAGATAGTCATTAGATTCTCACAACACTCAAAATCGTATAAACAAAACGGCCTTAGGCCCAATCA